AAGCACTTCGCGGATGTCACACCCAACCATGGTACATGTGTGTATTGTGGCGTCATTGTGGCGGGTGGCGATGAATGCCAATGTTGCCAGATCTGGGGAGGTTGTGTGCTGTGGGGACATGTTGGACGCAGTCTAGACCCATGAGATTATATGCTTGCAAGAGCACCGTCTTTAAAGAAAGCAGCGCAATGAGGCTACGAAAGTGGGCAACATCATTAATCTGTCTGCCAAGTGGCATGGATGTTGCCTGATTGAATCTGCATGTTATTGAGGTTGTGAGGGCATTGACACTATGACAATATTGGGTGACCTAAGGATGATAAGTTGTCTGATGCACTAGAGGCCCAATCTCTGGGGACATCCCCAGATTTTCCTGGGGACAGGAGCTGGGGGCATCGCCGATGTGGGGTGGGAACATCACAACGTAGAGGGCGGTTTCCATCCCCAGCGTCCCCACCACCGCACATCACCAGGCATCCCCGAATTTCATCCCTGCCTGGCAGAGGCCTCACATCCCCGGCATCCCCAGGACCCCACATCACTGGGCGTCTCCGAATTTTGTCGCTGGGTGGCCGAGGAGGAGCGTTTGTGCCTTCCCATGTCCCTACAGGGGCAGCGGCCTCAAGGGCCCCCCGGGAGGGGGGGAACATGGCTACTTGGGGTTAGGCAGTTATTGACATTTTCTGAAGTGGGAATTATATAATTGGGTAAATATCTCTTTTACGAGTGCTATTTAGAGCTTCTTGGTTCCAACGCGCCTTTAAACGCCCGAATCCATTAAGAATTGATGAAGATATGGCCTCCTGAACTCATGACTACGATGGATCCACGATCGGGCATCGCGCATGTGATATGTGCACGCGTATGCAGTGCATCCGTGTAACATCCTTTGGCCCACTCTCTGGTCTCCCGCAAGCTAGCAAACCACCATCGCGCTGCGCCGCCACCTTTCGCTGACAATAGGCCCTGGGGATCGATCCCCGTTGAGCATTGGGCCCACTGCGCGACCACAGGAGCGACTACCTCGAATACGCCCACCGTCCAAGGTGGAGAGGGCCGGCTGACCTCCAACAGCCGAGCTGCAAGGCAGGGCGACCCCAACGCCTCCGGAAACCAGCGGCTACCGACTGGGCCACAACAGGGGGGGAGACGTCCTTCCCCATATCCCCACACCCTTACATCCCCACTGAGCCTAGCGCCTCAAGGGTCTCACAAAGGGGGGATGGGGAGACGTCCGTCCCCACATCCCCATAGGAGGCCACAGACCTCAAGGGGCCCCCGTGGGTACGTGGGGATGTGGGGATGCGGGGATGGAATTGTGCTATAGGTTGGTGACGAATTCCAGGGAAGCTTGGCAACGCAGGGTTGTGGGGAGTCTGGGGACGGAATCGCTCTGCCGGCCGGGGTGGAATTCTAGGACGGCCCAGCCCCCCCCCCCCCACCCCCCCACACACACACACACACACTCCCCTTTCGGGGGCGTTGCCAGGGACGTCCCCGCCATCCCTGGGGACGTCCTGGAGGTTGGGCCTTTTCTCCATCAGACGAGAAAATAGTTGCTGTTGTAGAGGCAGTGAGTGAGGATTCCGTGGATGGGTCGGATATGGATGCTAAATGATTGAATTTGCATCTCATTGGAGTTATAATTGTGAATTTTTGCTGTATTTTTAGACGTATTTTAGGCCCAAAACAGAAATACGTGATAATACGCATATTTTTTACTGTATTATTATTTTAAGCCTTATCTATATTTCCTAAGCCTGAGCCTGGGAGGATGCAAGCTGCCGTGCGGGGTGATTGGTAACGGACAGAGCAGTGGATCGGTGCACAAATGGAGCGCAGAATGGAAAGTATTGGAAAACAGTTGACGGATACGGAGGCGCATTTCATGGCGACCAAACAGCCGCTCGAGGATGAGGCCAAGCTAGCCAGTGTGGCGGATGACGAACGGTTTGCAAGGACGCAAGAAGAGGTTTCTGAGGTATGCGACCATCTTGCTGCAATGGAAAAGGAGAAACGAACTGAGCATGTCTTCCCATGGCTGTTGGCAACATTGCAGATAATACTGCCGAGGAGGCTGCCAATGCAAGCTGTGACTTTCGCAAAGCTGTGCAGGTCCTGGGTGACCTCGGCGCAGCGGCTGAACTGCAGCCGCATGCAAGCGAGGTGCTTCGTGAATGAATGGAAGATGTAAGGGAACCCAGGGCCCCTCGCAAGCTGTCCGTTCGATAGCGCTTGCCAAAGGCAAGCCTAAAGATTAAACGAGCTGGAAATTTGAGTGCAGAACTGAATTGCAGTTCTGTATAGGAATCGAATTGCTTATATACACACAATATGGCAGCCTAACAGCCATGACAACTATTGACCTCAGGCTTATGTAGCCCGCTATGTATCCCTTTTGTCCCTTGAAATCCTGTTGGTTCGTTTTCCCCTGTGCACCGTGCCTCTATGGCCCCCGCGACCAACCTGTGTTTCATCCCGCCTCACCGCCCGTCACCCCGGCCGCTTATTAGTTCTCCTATTACATTATCCGCTATCGGTTTCATCCTAATTAAATGTCTACTGTACACAGCTATTGTACATTATTCTATTGTGCATTGACCGGCCCTTACGCAACCCCCTATCTACAGCGAGACCTGTGCCGGCGAGCTCTAATACTGACGACCCCCTAGTTTCTGCAGAAGATTTTCCCTTTTATCCCTTTGGTGCATCACCATCTTTTCTGAAGTTTCTCGCCAAATGGGCCGCCAGCACATGATTGGCCTCGGGTCATCATTTTCACAATCAGAAATGAAGTTACTCTCCGGTGTATCCGCGTCGGTCGCACCCACCAGTGCAGCAGTCCTTGACGGTGATGACCCATCGCCGACCCTTGTCGATGTCTTTTTTTTGCAAGCCAATCGCCACCTCAATAAGGCTGCTTCACGTCGTACCATCCCAAAGATTCTTCCTCCACGTTGATCCCACCCTCGTCGGCTGGCGGGACTTCAACAATGTAGTGCTCGCAGACGCCCCGGCAGCATTCGCACCTATGGATTGTCATCATAGCGTGTTTTTCGTTGGGCCCTTCAAGCCCATCTTCCCCTTCCACTTTAACCAGCACCTTGCGCTTCTGGGTGCTGCTTGGCTTTGACTTGCCTTCGTCGGGTATGGCCGCAGCATTGGTCTCCACGCAGTCCCCCGCCTGCACCGCTTCAGCTCCTCGTAGTGTGGCAACGTCCCGGCACAGCTGCCGGACTTCGGCATCGTCACTCGAGTCGACTAGGCTCCTTGGCCATTCGGCAATCTGAATCCAAGCGTGTACTTAGGGCCCTTGTCTCGGTCGGGGTTGAGTAGCCGGCCGCAGCTCTCGCTCTCATGACCGGTGCCATGGCTCCTTGTGGGTATGATATCGGACAGCGGCGGTAGCCCATGGGCTACCGTCTAATTCTGGCCAGAACTGTAGGACTAGTGAAATAGTTTGTGTTGACCGCTTGATGGCAGGCTCACACTGCCAAAAGCATCACCAGCTTAGCTATAAATAGCCACTAGGAATATCTGACTCATTTTCCCACCTGGCGACTCTCGACAGGAAGTGTGGCAGACGGGAGTGTGATGTCGGCCGCCCATTTTCAGGTCGGGGTAACGCTGTCTGGTTTGATCCCCATTACACCCCCTTGCATTTTTCCTGTTGTCTTTCCATGAAGTGCCATCGTCACAGTGCCGTATCATACGTTTTCCATCGAGTTTTTGGCCCTAATCCCTTTGGCCATCCCTGTTTGCCTTCTCCTTACTGTCCGGTTGATACTCCCGCGTTTGATTGGCCTCGATTTCGGCATCTTCCATCCCTTCATGATAGACGTCCTGGACAGACTCCGAGAGCACCGGTTCAATGGGCTGCCACCCCGTGCCGGTGTTTGTTGAATAGTCCTCATTGTCGCAACCCCATCGGCGGCCGTGGGTTTCTGGAGGCGTTGGGGTCACCCTGCCCTACAGCAGAGCCATTGGAGGTCGGCCGGCCTCTCCACCTTGGACGGTGGGCGCATCCAGGGCAGTCAATTCGTTGGTCATGCAGTGGGCCCAATGCTCGATGGGGATCGACCCCCGGGGCCTGTTGCCGGCGAGAGGTGGCAGCGCAGCTATGCACTGGTTGGATAGCTCATGGGAGGCCAGAGAGTGGGCCAAAGAGTGTAACACGGATTCACAGCATGCGTGCGCACATATTGCGTGTGCGACGCCTGATCACAGGTCCATCGCGGTCACATCATGGCAAGACAACACTGTGTTGTCACATAGTTACCATGTGAGTATTTGGCCATGCAACTGGTTGTGCACCTGATGCAAATCCAGTCGCAATGGTTGATGTGGCTTTTGGGTGTCCCAGGCACGAACTGTGTGAAATTTTTGCTTAGTGCTCTAGATAATCAAATCTTCATTTAAAAATCAGAACTGCTCTTTCACTGCGCTTTGTTGCCTTGGAGACGCATGGGCAGTGACCTATCGCTTTAGGACATGCATTCGAACGATTGAAAAATCTACCAGTGCAGGTCCACTGACCTGGTGATGGTGAGCGTGTCTGTGTGGGTTGCAGGGCCGACGCCATCGTGAGACCCCTGGAGAGTGAACAAGATCTGAAGCAAGAGCGCGCTCAGCTCCAGCGGCAGGGCAAGCAGTTCAAGATCGTCTCAAGAGAAAACATAGAGAACAGCGAAGTCTTTGGGGACCTGGCTACCCGCTCCGACAGCTGGGTGAGTACAGAAAGTGGCGTTGGAGGCCTGGTGAGTTGTTTGGGTTGACTTGCGCTTTTTGCGCACCAGGCTCTCTATTGGAAATCGGCAACTCTGGTTGTGTCCCATTGCAGCAACATCAGCGTTTGTGGATTGAAGAAAATCCAGACACTGTCCAGTTGCGTAGCTACCTAGTTGCATGCACCAATGTTACAATAACATCGATGGGTGCATTATCTCTTGCAGATATAAAGTGAATTTGGTTTTCCGCTTTGTTTTTTGTGCTGCGATGTGCTACCAAGGCTGAGCTTGGACCTGGGTAGGCAGGCCCATCTGGATATGGCAGGCATATTGGGCTATGGAGGCTTGCTTGTTGGTGGCATAACACTGTGACAAAACACTCTGAAATATAGACTACCACTGCTATGGTAGCAAAGATACTTAGGGTTGGGAGCAGGATGGTATGATACTATGTGCGAGGCTATGCCTTTTGTGAAACAAAAGGTGAACGTTGGGGCAGTTCAAACAAGCGTGCGTGAGTGCGATGACAGGTTGGAAGCATGAGAAACGATGACGCAGTACATGAGCTCTCCAATTTCGACGAAACAATGCATGGGCAAGTTGAGATGGCCAAGCGCGAAGGTGCTGGTGAGATGAAGGGGGTTGTCTTAAGCAGATAACAAGAAACTGCCGCGGCTCTTGAAGTTGCAGCTTTCCAGCAAAGGAAACCGGCTATGCGCAGGTTGCTTGGCATCTGAACGCCCAAGCTGGGCGAGCAAGGACTGTGGTGTTTTTCTGTGCATGCATTGTGCAGGAATCCACAGCGTCTTGGGAGTGCATGCCTTGTGTCACAGGTACTGGCAGCTTTGCGCACTGGGCTGCCAGTCAGTGCTTAAAGCACTGTACCAAGACCAGCCACACTGGCAGCTTGGTGACCTGGTGGTACCGTTCTGTCATTGTAAATGTCAGTTCCAGAGAGCACCTCCTCATGCACTGTTGGTGGTGGCTATGTGCAGCTCGATGTGATCCATGCAAGTAGCCCATGCTTTGCCACCTTTGCCCTCTAATGCTGGCCAGTGCTTTGGAAGTGCATGTCAATCGGATTTCACAAAGGTTTAAGGCGAACAACCTGTTGTTCCTCTTTCTTGTGCAAGCATTCTATCCACAATGTGGGATCTTATCAACCTAGTTGCCCCAGCAGTGTTTGAAGATTGGATGTGCTTCCCTTGGAATAATGAGGGTTGAAGCTCCGCAAGCGCCTTTGATAATGCAGAGAGGGGTGTCTATATCAGCATCAAGTACACATCATTCGTGGTGGTGGGCTTTGCTTGAACTTTGGATACTGAATAGCAGGGGAACTGTCAGGTGTTCCTGTTCGTGAATTGGATCGCTAGTGATCACTAGTTTGGGGTTGCTATGTGCGGTGCACATAATGCAGTGCCAGTAGATTGGCTGCCAGTTTTCAACAAGACACCTGCATTACAAATTGGATGCTGGCAAAAGACACCTCGCATGTTGTGAGACACTGAAGACAATGGCGAAAATCCGCAAAAAGGCCAAGGCGTTCAAGCGGATCTATAGGGAGGAGGAAATTTGGTGAACCGGTTAGGAGGGACTGGTTTGGAGAGAGCCTGTGGTGGCTTCTTCATTGTGTTGTCATGTGAGTTCACAACTCATAGTCTCCATTTGGAGTTAGCATGAGGAATTAGTAGCTCGCAGTCTGGACTTTCCATATTTGAATTTGCAAAAATAGATCAAGTTCAGGCCGGAAACCCAACGAGGGTTAGTACGGCCGGGCGCAGTTCAGGCCAAAAATCCCCTCAGGGTTTAGTACGGCCGGGCGCCACCCAGGCCGGAAAACACCTAAGGGTACGTACGGTCAGGCAGCGTTCAGGCCGGAAACTCCTTCAGGGGTTGGTACGGCCGGGCCGCGTACTGTGGGTGACGACCATGGCTTGGGTGGGGTGGGGTTCTTCATGTTTTAAATGAATTGTTTTGCAGTGAGTTGTTTTGTGCTCGATATTGCTTTATACACAGCCGCTGTATTTTCCCATTGAATATGATGTTTGCAGTGTAAAATATGCATGAGGCGACTTGCATGCAATGATGCATGCACGGGACGACACAAGATGCATACGCATACGTGCACATGACGGGACGTTGAAGTTCCTTTATCACAAACAATAATTCAAATAGTCAATAAAACAAATATTGCTTGGGATATTTCCTTACATGGTCGGAATTTTCCGACCCCTCCCTTGGACAGAACGGACGGATTGGCGCAGAAAATGTGCTTCCGTACAATTGGTAGGCAAAATAATTCTGGCAAGTCGGACCTGGTTGGAATCCAAAAAAATTGCCGTTCGGGCGGAGACGGACGGAGGTGACCAATTTTATTAAAAGCCAAAGTCGGACAGAAGTCCGTCTTCGACGCCTATGTCGGAGGCCGATGGAGATGGAAAAGAACATTGGGCTATGGATAACCTTGCCAAAGATGACGTTAATTTTCTGGCTCATAGATGCAAGATTTATTTGCAGCAGGCTGAGCAGATGTGCGAAGTCATTTCTTTTCAATTCTTGTGCCTCAGGCGGATGTATTGTACGTGGTTCTGTGGCGCTTGACAGCCCAATATGGATGCAACCTGCCATGCATGGAAACATCAGAACTTGGTTACTATTTGGTCATGAAATTTAGACTTTTGTGCTGATGCACTGGGTGAGTTTGTCAGTCCTTCGATTCTATCAACAAGGATCACTGGGCTAATTTGTGGCGTGGCTGTGACGTCACAGCCTTCCTCCTGAGCAGTGCATTGCAGTACGAGAAAAGGGTAGGCGGAGCCGTAGGTGTGAACGAATATTCCTGCGAATCTTTCAGGTCGTAACACAGATTTGATTGTGGCGCTGCGCATGTGCTGGAAAAGTGGCGAATGAGTGAAGTGATGGCCACCTGAGCGTTGCAAGGGGGATATGTGAGGATTAGAAGAGCATGTTGTGAGTTTGCGGAAACATGATAATATGTGATACAGATAGTAGAGTATGAAGCGTAAGGAGAGTGAGAATGATGTGAACTGCCATTTTTGGACGTGATCTGATAGAAACCGTACAATATTTGACTGTCCTGCCCTTCTGACGTGGCTATGGTACAGTAGGGGTCCCCATATAGCGCCCCCCTAATAGCGCCCCCGGCTCCCAATAGCGCCCCCTTTTCTGGCTTGTCGCCATTTTGTTAGTACTTTATGCAGCTTCACTGCACAATAGGATCTCAAGCTACCATTGCGGATAACCAAACACACCCAAGAGAGGTGTCTGGTGGACGGATGGCGCGGTGGCCATCTGTTTCAACGAACTTGGCATATCGTGGACGGCCGGATGGCACGTCCGGTGCATCCACTGTGGGGCCCGGGCCCAGGGCCTCACCAGGAGGCCAAGGGAGGTGTGTGTTCCACGATGGATCTCCATCTATGCACAACGAAGTGGGCACTGCCCGCTTGGGCTCCTTGCAGCCAGCAGAATGGAGGGATAGGAAGGGGTGCCCAATGCCACAACTTCCATTCTTTCTCATTCATCATCATAATACAAATCTATCTCCATATCCCTGCCGGAATCCTCATCACTACTAGGAGTTCCGTCTTTCATGAAATCCGGGCCGCAGGGGCTTCCATCATCGTAGTCGCCCCCATCATCATTAAAAAAGCTCTTGATCAGTTGCTTTGGCATCACAGCCGATATGCGCACCGGGCGCTTTGATGTTCGCACTAGCCGATAGGCTGTGTAGTAGTGCCTCAAACAGCAACCTCCCCCTTGCAAATCCTTACAAATTGTAAGTTACAATATGAGTAGGATCCACACCATGCATGCATAATGATATTGCAGCCAAGGCATTTATGAATTGCAAATAATGGTGGTCCATTTTGGCCGTCGCCCCGGGAGATAGTGCAGTAAATTCACCCTCAAACAGGCAGCTGAGCCATGTCAACGGCCTCAGCACCACAGCAGTTGAGGGTGCACTCAACGAACAAGCTTTGCCCCTCGCGCAAACCGGCTCTTCACTAAGAACTGCTTGGCACGCCGACGCGACCAACAAAATAGTGGAAGCAATAGGGGAAGCTTCAAAAAGGTAGCAACACCCCCATTGCCAGCCAACCATGCAAGTGTGCTTGCGGAAACTCTTGCAGGTGCCACTCAGAGTGCTCCAACCAGTTGCAACTACTCCTTAATGGTCGACGAAGTCAAAACAGAGGTCAGGTCCCACGGGTCAGGGTTGCCTTGTCCACAACACGTTGGTGTATGACACGGGGAATGCTTCTCTCTGCCTCGAAAAGGCTGTACAAAGACAAGGCTTGGCGTGTTCTGGTCGGCAAATAGATCATCCTGAAAGTGTTGGTCTCGAACAACAAGGAAGCGCCTTGAAAGCAAGGCCTAAACTAACTGCGACCTTGAAAAGGTCAAGCGCTATTGCGCTCAGGCCGTGGCGAACGTTGCACGCACGGTCAGGGGGACTAGGCAGCCAGACTGAGCGCCTAGACCGCCGCGCGAGAGACACACGAACCCCACGCAACCGTTCTTACAGGTGCCAGGCCGAGTGCAACAATAGAGAGTTCCCCTTTGCGTTGCCCACCCCTCTTTGGCAAAAATACCACCATTCCAAAGAGATGCTCTTTTGATACCCGGAATCTTTCTGCCACGCCCGTTGCTTCACCGCAACTCAACCCAAGACGCCCCAATGCCCACAATCAGCCACACGTGTGCCACATTCTCACCAAGCCACCACACTTCCCGTGGTCAGCAACCACGTTATGCCCCATGGGGCATATTCTCATCAAACAAGCACATGGCGCCTCAACGCGCCCCTCCTGGCTCCATCGCACCACGATCCGTGGCAAAACACCAGGCGGGCAGCTCCTAAACAAATGCAAGTTTCCAGTGGCAACCTGGGTGCTCCCCAATACTCTAAGGCATGTTTGGGCCATGTTTGATTCATGTGTCTCCGTGTGGTACACTGCGACGTATTGGCGTTGTGCTCGGCATTTTTATAGTATCTCAGTGATCTCTTTGGGCGTGTGATACAATTGCCATCATCTATCTTTGTCATCAAAATCATCTCCATGCATTCTGAGTGCCTTGAGCTTGCAATGTGATGATGATCAGTGTGGCGAAGGTGCTGAGGCTGTTGACATCCCTCTGCATCATATCTAGACCTCACGGGTCGCCAACTGAGTGATATTATTAATGCACTAACTTTTTGATGAGCCCCATTAATTGGCGACCCGAACAGAACGCCACTGACCCCAGCACTGATTTGGCAGTCTGGGCACACTAGTCGTGCAGCCATCGCATGCCCGCGATGATCACAACAGTGCTGCCACACTGCTGCGCCCGCCACGTCGCGCCGCCACGTCGCCGCGCCGCCATGCTGCCATCCCGCCACGCTGCCACCCTGCCACACTGCCAAACGGCCATGCTACCACACTGCCACGCTGCCACGCTGCCACACTGCTGCATTGGCACACTGCCACTTGACGCTGTCGCCAGGCGCCGCCATAGTGCCAGCAGGTCATTACACAAAACCATATTGACTAAAACTACAATTAAATGCATTAAAACAAAGTTAACACAATAGCGCCCCCGGCCCCCAATAGCGCCCCCCTTGTGGCCATGTCACGGGGGGGGCGCTATATAGGGACCCCTACTGTATTTGGGGAGTGGTTGCCGTGCTGTGTGGGGCCCGGATGCTGCCATGGCCAGTGTCTGAGGGGCTGAACAGACAGACCACAGTCCGTGAAGTTGTAAACACTACGTTGGCATTCTCCTCGTGTGCCACCCATGCACACAGCCCGTGTCGCGCCATCCAAACAGATTGGCTTCACAGCCAAGAGTTTGAGGTCTCCTGCGCTCGATTTTCGACAGAGCGCGCCCATTGCAATCTCGCCGTTCGAGTGCATGTTTTTTTAATCGATTCTGTGAGAATAGAAGCGGCTTCTCTCGTGTTTCTCACCCAAGGCCAGGATTTCTGCGTGAGCCCGGAGGTGCAAGGCCTAGAGGCCCGTTTAGGTCGGGTTTTCCATGGCGGAATCGCTGGCGACCACGTGTTCGCAGGGGAGCTGTACGACCCCAGATTCGCCTACTTCGACGCAAATCCAATCGAGCCAGAAGGCGGGACAGGCGAAAGTTTGGCGCTTTGTGGATTTTCGCCCGGGTGGCTGCCATGTCAGACGGCCACCTTCGCATGTTGGAACCAAGTCCACACGGGATGAAATTTCGCCCCATTCCACCGAACCAATTCAATCGTACTTCATTCCACTGCTGGACTTCAGCATGTTCTGATGCATGAGAGCCGACGCACATCATATTGCTGTGGTGAAAATGGCATGCTGGGGGGAGGGGTGGGATGCGGGTGGGCGAAGGGGGAGGGAGGGGGGGTTCAGCAACTTTTCTGGTCCATTGTTGGTTGAAACAACGAACTGACGTGCATCAGTCGCCTGAATTACATTCAACAATATTTCACATTAGCACACCTGCCACGCTCCAGTCCCTGCCACACGATCCCCCTGCGGATGGTTTCAACCCAAAAATAAATTAAGACATGCTCCCAATAATCAAGAGACACACGCAATTCAGCGCCATGTCTTGCCGACTTCAGCCACATAGCGGCAGCGGGTAAGGCAACAGCGCCCAAGAGCAGACGTTTGGCGAGCGTTTCTTTGCAGCCTTGCATTTGGGTGACACCGACGATGCATGTCAAGGCATTGCAAATCATGGTCCTTCCATTTTCTTAGAGTTGTCGGCATAGGCCCACAGCAGCAGAGGAAGCTCAAAGGCCATTCAAGGCCCACAATGCATGTGCGTTTGCCGTCAATCTCCTCAAGTCTTGAAAAAGAAGATCCCTGGACTCTTCTGGCAAAGAGGCCCTCTACTGCTGGGGATGCCTGCTGCTGGCAGGCCTGCCAGCTTTCAAGACATCTCAAGCTTCCTAAACAATGCATTCCTGCCAGCCACACGCCCTAGCCTTCTAGACCAATACCATATTCCTATATGCTACAAGTAGACATTCCTGCATTCTTCAATTACTACATCCTAACTGCTGCACCTAGTCAGATCCTTGGGATCTCCAGCCCATTGAGTGCTTCCAGGCGACGCCTCATTGTGCTGAGGACGCCAATCACCATTGGCACCTCATCTGGGGTTGCGATCTCCTTCATCACCTGCTTGGATCCCTACAGAGTTCACAACTGCCCAAGTTAACAGGAGAAAAAGGAGCAAAGTTCAAGCAAAAGATGCTCATGGCAGATTGGCAGATATTTGTTGAAAGCAAACAGAAGCGAGCAAACGACCAGTTATGGGAGAGATTGAATGAGGATCAACTCTCACAGGTTGTTGTCCATAAGGGTGCGCATCCAGTTCATGCACACACAATGCACATGACCTCCAACCAACTGCATGACCAGAAAACAGGCAAGACACCATGCCCCTGCATTTCTGCACACTGACTTCTCTCCATCGATTTCTGTGGAGCTGCTGTTGCTAGTCCACAAGATCGAATTCCTTAGAAATCTGCCACGCTAGCAACAAAACTTCCACAATCGACAATGCCGGCATGGTCCTGAAATTGTGGAGTTAGTCCCACACTGCTTCAAGAACAAACAGCCTATATCTCGTCCAAAAGGCATATGGAACAGATGTGCGGCAGTCTCATGGGCAACGTCAGTACAAAGCTTAGCAATTGGTAGTGCTTAGTACCTAATGTTTCGCACTCAGCATTCAGCACTTTTTAGTTACCCCACCTTTCTGGTGGAGTCCTTGTACTCCTCTGGACGACCTTCTTTTGGCACAAACCACTGGCTCAGCTCAGCCGTGAAGATGTCTGGGTGTTGCTCCAGGATGGCTTCCCAGTCGACTTGGTAGTCTGTGGGGATGGATGACCTCACAGGCATGCCCGCTGCCCAGAAGAGCGCCAGCATGAAGGTGTAGCCAGCTGCAGCTGTGCCCCTTGCCAGGGGCATGAAGTTGTACCAGTAGTATGTATATGCCAAGATCTTCTTTGCAACGATCACAGGGTCACCTACAAGGGAGGTGCCCATATTGGGTTGGTCAGGCCAATCAGATTGTCATTGCTGTCTGAGTAGCTATATCAACCAACGACACAACACACATGCTCTGGCTTGGCGGCTTCTGATGAAAACTGATATGCAACTTCCCAATACAGCAGCCTCACTGTCACAACAGCCTTCTGTGGCTTTGGGGCTCTTGAAGAGCCTGTCTGCGAGACTGACTAGCACGCACGACACAAAATGCACGTGAACATGTAATCGCAATTTAGAAACTGTATACAAATTGACTAGCAGTGGCAACCAGACATCCTGACCACTTGCCAGCGTTGACCACTACCTAGCTTCAAGTCGATCCATCTTGTCATCTGCAGAAGAACAGCATCACTCTCGTTGTGCCAATGGCATTCTGAAATGATAGATTTCCTCTGCACTACTTGTCACCATTGCGTTTACAGCAATATGTACCTGTATCAAAGATTCAGAAGACATCAAATTCATAACTTCACCAACACTGGACTGTTCCAGTACACCGACCTCCCAACATGGCATCGATGAGCTCATCCCATGCCTTCTTCAGCTCTGCCTCAAACTCTTTCCACCTGGGAGGCCTCACAGGAGTCCGGATGGAGAACTCATAGGCGTCAGGCTGATCGTGCACTTTGACCAGTGTCAACCTTGTGCCCTCTATCATCTTACCCGGCTGGGCCAAGCTTGCGATGGGCACAACAGCCCACGAGTCCTCCCTGCCAACACAGAACACACCCATTCGACAGAGTGCATTGTAGCTGCAAAGGAGGATCCTACAATGCACGGAATTCTGAATAGCTCTGATCACAAAGCACCCCACATCAGTACAACACACTGTAGACAATACTTGATGAACATTTGGCAAGCTTAGGTACGGTTTCAGCAGACAATTTATATGGCCAGTTTGTAATTAGTTTGTAATATGTGGCACAACAGCCACAGTTCCTGCGGTACTTATGAATACAGTGCTACAACCAGACATGCAGCAGCAGCATAAACAAGAGCCAATTTCCACAGGAATTCACACAGTTTGGAAAAGTGGGTACCCAGCATAGAACTGCATACAATGTAGAATAAAAGTAAACTTTACTTATTGAATTAATAGGTACTAAACATGAGATTAGTTAACGGCAAAGCACATAATTACCCCTGTATGAAAGTGGCACTTTCTTGTGTCGACCTCGCCTACAGGAACAATTTTCTTAGGGCCTGAAACAGAGCCCAATCTGTGAATCCTTTGGCACACATGAAAAGCAATGCGCCCTTGGGGGTGCCCTTGCTGCCAACGTTCAAGGCTCTGGTGTGCCCTCCAAAATCGAAATTTTTGAGGACATCACAAAATAAGCCTTGACAAAGAGCAGAGCAGTGACCCCTTGGAAACCAACACAACCAACCGCAAATTGTGTTATTTGCATGTGCCACAAGAAAGCATCTTCCAAACGGTGGTGACAATGGGCATTGTGACCAGTGCGCTGATGGTGATGAGCTCAAACTGCCCCAATGCGCGTGCTGCCAGTTCAAAGACACAACATGGTGCAAGTACTGGAGCCAATCTCTGGATGCACTGTCTTTCACTTGTGGCCCAAGTCAATGTCCATAAACCAGTCAGCACATCCAGAACCTTTCATGCTGTCACTGTTGCAATGCGCAGCAAAATGATGCAGCCAAACACGGCAAGCTTGACCGGTGTGAGTGAATACTATTAGCCTGGTCCATTCATTGACTTGCAAATTTATGGGTTAACATAGCACATAGCGTTGCCAGCGAAGATCTAAGAGAACTCGGGATTTCCCAAACACGATGATGCTCTCCATATGCCCACACAAGCCAAAACATGCCCACACCCCTGCAAGGTGACGAAAGGAAATGGATCACAAAGGAAAGGAGCAATAAATAGTGATCCACAAAATAGGTACAATTGAGAAGGTTACTTATCTATTGCCTTTACCACAGGTCAATGTTATCAGTTCAGCTACTTCTTGCTGCTTCAGTGGCATTTCGTGTTTGGCTCCTTGCAATGGCATAAACAAGGGAGACAAGACATCAATATGCAAACACAGTCAGAAATTGGTTGAACAGGTCGATCTGCTGCTGCTGGTCATGTGGGCTGGTCTTCACTTACTTGATTACTTTGTACATATCACTTGCAGTTTTTGCCTTTCTGATGGCTTCCTGCTGCTTGGGTTTATCCACTGGAATGGCATCGTTGGCTGCATTGTACGCCTTGCCATCTTTCAGGAGCACCTCCTTGTGCTTTGCCAGAGCTCGGGGAAAATTCATGTAGTATCGTACGCACTTTGTCTGGCCACTGAACATGGGCGTGTGGGACCCAAACCCTGCCTCAAACTCTGATGGCGTTAGTAGGTCGACCCACACCACCTGAACAAACATTATTATCTGTTGTAAATCACCTGTGCCCTAGAGTATGTGTGGTACCCAATGAAATTGATCAATGCATTCATATGAAATCTGCAGCTTGCAAAAGCATTCTGTGTGCAACATTACAGGACTCTTGTGATACAGTGATACTTATGATACTACATCATGACACAGCTCTGAAGGGCCAGGAATAAACTGGCAGGACTGCCTGCATGAAAACACATCCAATTGCTACACAATCCAATCTCTGATTCCCAGCACTGGCTATTGAATGCTCCCACATCCACAGACCAAAAACAGTGCAATGCAGCAGACAATGTGCCCAAACAAGCACACCAACCAGAAAAATGCCAAAGCAATCCAATTCTGGTGCAGCCCACTCTCCAAAACACTCAACGCTTGCACATGCATACAGTACCCAACATCTTCAGCACAAGGCTGTGATTTGTTACACCTGACAAAACAATCACTGCAGAAGCACACATCGGAACCAAAACACTGCACTACACCAAAATTCAACACACAAAACTGGCAAAAGAACCCAGAAGGTCAAGCCAAATTAGTTCGGCTCCCCGTGTACCACATCATTTCAAGCCCTACTGACCTGGTCATTCGGTTCTGACAGCTGCCGCCACTTCACAATGATGTCCATCGCCTCCCGCCAACTAAACTCCTTCCGTCCAGCCTTGCCCTCGCCTCCACTGGCCCCCATCGAGTCCACCTCAAACACCCTCCCCTCCCTCTTTGCCACCAGCACAGCTTGCACAGCCTGTGCAAGCTCCAATGCTGCCAGCCCTGCTGCCCTCTGCTGCCGCCTGTTGGAGAACAGGGCAATCCTCTTCGACTGTGGCTTTCCACAAGTGAGGCAATGCATTGCGCACTCACCCATCTTGCGATGTCGGACAGTAAAAACCTTGTCAATGGAATTTGTTGTGACAGAACGCGGCCAGAACCAAGCAGGGAAACCCACACGGGCTACAGTCATCCACAAGCAATATCCCAACAAGCACTTTGTCCTTTGGCCTATTAGGCGATGTACTGCACACCACTTCATGTTGATGGACAATCGTTGAATGCAATGACCAAAAATGGCCCTTCTGTCCATCAAGCGACATCATTGGGTACCAGCAAGCGGCACACAATGTTCCCTCCAGCAAGCTGTTGTTCCTTTTCCCTGAACAGCCCAAAGAGAAGTCCTGGCACACCTGTTAGGCAAAAAGCCCTGGTAGTCATTCTGCAGTAAGGAGCCCACAAGGTCGGCGGCTGAGAGCAGCGGAGCCAATTCTTTGGCTGTTGGTCTTGCTGGCATGGGGACGGGGTCTTCGATGACTGTACGCTGCATGGCATAGGAGGCGATGAGTTCCTGGGAAGGCCCCAGCTTCTTGCACCACAGCTCCTGCACCAAAAGGTTGAAACCATTGTCTTGAGATGAGGTTTTGGCTCAGATCAAATTTTGGGCATTTCTTGCAACATGTCCTGAGGTATAGTAGTCAAGCACATGGACAAGCATGAATAGCAGAAACAGAGATTGGTGAAAGGAACTGACAAAGCATATGCCTTCCAGATGGCAAGTATGGGGTTGCACGCAGGATGTTGTGCACATTGATCAATGACCGTCACATTCTTTCATTGCACAAAGTCCTTGCACTGCTCTTTCTCCGATTCCGCACAATGCCACTGACACGCTGGCCTCAATGTTTATGGGCAACTACTGTCATTGCTTTAGCAGGAAGAAAGTTTTGTGGGTGTTGGTGTCTAGTCTGAAGGTCAGCGGACCATCATGAAGCAACAAACATGCAGTGCATATTTTCAGGCCTGGAAGCAACCAAAGCCATAATAATGGATGAGCCTGGACTTACATTTTGTGTTGCTCTTGTGAGCTACTCTTATCCTTGGCATTTCTCGCAAGCAGAATTGCTGTTATATGTCAGTGGCCTGCGACAAAAAGGCAACATGTCACATTGCATTGCCAAAGGATTAGTATGCCATGGTGCACAATTTCCCATTCCTGTATCCTGGTTTCCAATCTTGTTTCTCACACAACACTTGACACATGTGGTACACAAGTGAGCAAGCAATGCCTTTCTGGAAAAACACAATAATGAATCCAACTAACCTTGAAGATCGGGTTCAGCTCCACATCTGGGCAAAAGGAGTCCACAGGAGTGTCCAGCCTGTGTCGTGTGTAAAGGGCCATCTCTTTTTGGTAGAACGACACGACCACCAATTGGTGCCGCTCCAGGGGTTCCTCTCGCGACAAGGCCTTTTCAAACTCGATGCACTTCAGGTAGTCCCTCACCGCCTTCTTGTGGAAGCCCAATGCATGGTGGCACGCAGCACGCAGGTAAAAGCATTCTAGTTTCTGAGACCAAGCACATCATAGTTTCAGAATGTCACTGTCTTAAAAAAGAAGATCCAAATGTTCTATCATATACAAGAGTTTAGGTTGTCACAAATAAAAGCAGTTTCTGATCAAAGGCAGCAATATACATGAGAACATATTTTACTCCCAAATGCAACAATGCCAACACTTTAGGATATCACAAGTCCCACAACAAGCCAGGAACTATAAACTGTAAGGTAGTCCGAAGTGCACGGAATTAAAATTGCACCTACAAGCATATAAGGTGAACAAACAACAATAATGCAGCATGGCACAACTTATAATAAAGCACTACAGGATGCCACAGTGTACAATGTCATGTGACAATGTACTGCACCCGCTTCACCTCTGATCCATTCCATCATTACCTGCACCACCATCCCGATCCTCCATAGCAACTGTGTACAGTTAAAGCACAACTGAATGTGCAATTCATCTTTCTTGTATCCATTTTCCGCAATTTATCTACTCACCAACATACAAACTTATCAACATCAGATACACTTCAGAACTATTTATCCATTCCTTATGTGTTATTTCATCATGGTTACTCACCTGCTCATTCAGATCCTTCCCAAGGGCGTGTGTCAGGATCTCTACAGCCTTCACGTGATTCCCCATCCCCTGGTACATGGATGCCATCACACGGTACGAGCCAAAATGTGGCTGATCCAAAGGGGACTTTTTCTCCACTGCCCTCCCTTTCTTGTAGGCATCTTCAGCCTCTTTCACAAAGCCTGCCTGCAGCGGAAGAAGAATAAATAAGAAAGAAAATCAATATATGCTCTGAAAGAGATTGACTATGAACAAATAAGTCAACAACTGAATGAATAAATACCTATTCAATAACAACACACAAGCAGATCGTTCCAAAAGAGGAAAACTTGAACCGTATGTTGGCATTCCCTCAGTGCCACAATGCTTGTGAGGCGCTTTTCCACTAAATGACAGATACCATTAGACTCCCTGACATGCCTCTGCAGTCAAAACTGCCTCTCTGCTGGCAAAAGAAATAAGTCATCCAGTATGCAGCATCCCACTCTTGAACAATTCTAACAGAGTCGTTTTGCGTGCCAAGGAGGATTAAGCAGAAACCCTGTCGTCAAACTCTCAGCCCCACCTCCTTGAGTGCTTGGCATATGTTGAAGTAGGCTTCCTTGAAGTTGGGATCCAGCTTGATCGCAGCCTTGTATGCATCCACACCTTCCCGAATGTCTCCCAGAGAAGTGCAGCACAAACCCATCATGTTCCAAGCCTGCAGGTTTTCGGGGTTCAAGCCGACAGCCTTCTTCAGTTCCTCCTTGGCGGACCTGTCAGGCACATGTTTAGGGCTCAAGGCGAACATCCCATGGTCACATTCGTCAATTGTCGAGTGACAGAAAAGCGCCCGGCAAAGCGATGTCAGGCATATAGCTCAACACAGAATATGAACGCGATATCCACCAAAGGTAAAGTCCAAGAAAAGGGGGTCAGGGTGTCAATGCTGACTCATTGATGGCTGCGAAGTTGTCTTAAGATGGGTGTATGAATAGGTACAATTGTCCATAGTTGGGATGCGGGGTGAACAATATTGCCAGTAGGTCATGTGGTCTAAGTATGACACTGCTATGAACCAAGTATTCCATTATCCCACCATCAACATACAAACTACCAATTTGATGGATTGCATACAACCTTGCACCACAAAACTGCAATAATAATTGGACAGGGTGTCTGTCTTCAGCCTGCAAATCTCCCATTATCTCAACAGCCAGAAATCGTTACTCAAAATATCACTACTCTGTTTTACTGTTTTAATAAACACATCCACTATTGTAGATGTTCACTATTTTGGGCCAGTATTGCCTACCCAAAACAAAGTTGTGCCTTGAGGAATATTCAGAAACACCTCAATGCGAGCAATGAGCTCAATGATGTGCACGGCATTGTAACAACTTGACAAGCATGCATCTGCTGGTCACCCCTTTTGCTTTCAAGAATGCTAATCGAGGCAGTTCAGTTTGTGGTATCATCCTGTCCTGTCCTTATGCAGGTGAATCTACACAGATGGCCCTTGCCAATGACTGGAGCCTTTTGCAAGGGCCGTCTGTGTAGAATAGCCTGCACGGGGGACCTTGACCTGACGGGAAGCACAGCATCCACTGAGAGCGAGCAAAAGCAGTTCGCCACTCTGCTCCAGTCTGGATCCGTGCTCAACCTGAAGTCTTTTTGCTTCTGGTATATCATGCCCCTCTCAGCATAAGAGTCGGCTTTCCCGGTAGAATCGGGGGTGAGCCCCACAGCCCTGTCAAGGTCTTCCAGGGCACCCTTATAGTCCCCCAGGGCACTCCGTGCCTGGCCCCTCCTCTTCCAGCTGTCATAAAAGCTGGGCATGATATCGATGGCTATGCCGAAGTCCTCAATTGCACCTGCGCAGAGCAGAAGTAAACCTGGATTTGCGTGCCTAGCAATGTCCACAAGATAATGGCTGCCCCATCAGAGGCCCAGCAACAAATACAATGACATACCCCAACAGTTGCAAGAGCTTTGCCTCGTCACATTTTGACAACCGCGATATTCTGAATAGCCAAATTGCCTTGGATACTGGACAAAAGCACATGTGCTGTGGAATCAAATCCCTTAAGACACCTCATTTGGTGAACAAGAACTTCACACTGACTAATTTAAAGCGAGTGTAAAGTACAAAGCTCTAGTGTGAGATGGAACGTCTCCGACACATTCTGCAGAGCTGGGTGTCCAGTCAATGAATCTGACACCCCAATTGTATCCAAAAGTGTAGATCTTCATTCATTCGCATCTCTGTATCTGTAGAGGCAGCTCAAAATATGCACAGATACTGCATTTGCCTATTGGATCTGGACAGAACTTTGGAGGTCTGTCTGTCAGCAACAATAGACACTTCTGACCAAAGTACTTCAAGTGAAACACTCATGAAGAGAAACCCATACTCTCAAGTTTGCGCTGTAGAGCCTTTGCGGTTCCCCGTGCCACCCGGGCACCAAGATTCCTGGGGTGCTCCTTCACAACTGCATCCAGCAAGTCGGCAGCTGACTGCCAGCAGCCAGTATTTATCTGCACACACACACACACTCACCATTGCTGCTCCCCCTCCCCTTTGGTTTGCCACGTTCTACATTTTGCCCCAAGGTAGTACAGTTGTGGCTGTGCAAACTCAAGCTTTTGTAACAATGGAATTGGAACTGGACAGACACACGCACACGCACACGCACACGCACACGCACACGCACACGCACACGCACACGCACACGCACACGCACACGCACACGCACACGCACACGCACACGCACACGCACACGCACACGCACACGCACACGCACACGCACACGCACACGCACACGCACACGCCCACGCCAGATCCCCTCTACCATTCTGCTAGCGAGCAAGGGGGCAGTGAGGGAAGCAGCATAGTGCTGGAAACAGGGAGGCAGGGCGGCTAGGAGGGCGGGATGTCGGGACCTTGTGTGGAGGAACGGCAATTGGGGGGTGTCATAGCCCATTGGTGGGGATGGGTTACTAGCGGGGAGCAGCAGGGTGGTGGAGCATAGTGGGATGGGCCACCAGTGGGTGGGGCAAGCACCACAGCAAGGGTGGCCGACGACGGCGCATCCGCGTTGACCAGCGGCCGGCTAGGGGCGGTGGGTGCAACGACCCCTGCCGTGAATGGAATGGGGGACCCAGGGGTGGGCGAGCATGCCAGTGAGGGCCGGGGGCGCAGGGAGTGGGGAGATCCAGGGGTGGGGGTAATGCGGGCAATAAGGTGGGTAGTCAAGGATTAGTCACCTGGGGTGGGGGCGGGGGCAACTTCCGTCCAGCTGCACCACCTTTGGGCAGCTGCATCCCGGGGAGGGGGGAGGGGGGGGGGAGGCGCCATTGATCGTGCCGCCCATTACAACGTGTGTCGCCCCGCCGCCTATTTTCCTATCAGTGGAGGGGGTGGTAAGGGGACCGGAGGAGGGGGGAGGGGCCCAGGGAGTCAAAACAGGGGAGGGAGATGGGGGAATCAGGATAGCCCGATATCGAAGGGAAGGGAGAGGAACCCTGCAGGTGCAAAGTTAAAGGCAAATGCTTGCCGTGGTGTGACCATTGCGGGTCCAAGAGTATTGGACAAGGGCGTTTCCCAAAGTTGACGATATGACTAGTACTAGGGCCAGAAGTACCCATTGTGCAAAGCGAGCCCCTGAGAATAGGAATGCAAGCCAGAATGTGAGCATTCCGACCAAGTGTGTGGATGAGCAGTTGCATATCGAACAACTCCTCGTGATTAGTGGAGTGGAGAGAAATCCCAAACCCAAAGTGGAGGACGGGCGGGAGTTGCTAACTGCACTCACCCATGATGCATCCATATGGGTGTTTGACGCAATTGCCTAGCAGGCTGAGACCAATAAGTTTAGCAATAGAGACCGGACATTACTCCAACAATTCTGCCTTGGATCAATGCCTCACAGAAGGATCGTTAGGATAGCATCAAAGCTCTGCAATTTCCAGGCAGAAGATGCTAATGACAAAACCCGCTGGGCAGAGCTAGTCTCACGGGTTCATGGAATGCTCCCCAAGAGCATTCTGTTATAGCAAGACCACCTTGCGAGCATGTCGTGCAAGGCAAATGAGCCATGGACAGATTTCATAGATCATGACATGCTCTTCGCGGAGACATGCGACTCAATGACAGATCCCATGAAGACTGCAAAGCTACTCTGCAAGTTACCTTGTGAGCTTTGCACTCAACTTAGCAACCTCAAGACCAACGCAAACTTGTCTAAAGTATGAGACACGACTTAGGGAATCGGTATTGGGCTCATTGTGCTCACGACAAGACTGTGCCCTCTGACACCATGGAAATCAATACCCATACATTCAATACATTCATGAGCACTCGACCCAATGGAGGGCGAATTTTTGGGTGACGATGGCTTTCGACGAGGAGACAGCTGTGCCCAATGTCCTGTCTTCGTGGTGATACCATATGATTCAAGAACATTGATGGTCCTCGCTACCTTATGATTGCATGGAAAAAACTCATGTCGACTTCCTCATCTCTTCGGCATGAGGCAGAGGAGTTTCTGTCGAGAGGACGGCCCTATCGGAACCTCCGTGAGCTGGAGGCAGGTTTTGATGAGGGCATGGAGAAAACTTAGGATAACTTCATTGATAGAGAGGGCAATTTGGGGGCAATGTTATGCACATTGGCCTAATGTGGGGGACGCCCTAGCGCTAGCTACTTGGTGGTGGGGACGCCCTACCCAAGATATGGTAACGACACCCCAACCAGCTTATACGATACTATAGATATGGGAGTAGGTTGGAGTGGTCCTGCCTAGGTCCCCGTAAGGACCTAGGTGCCTGGCGAGGCAGGTCCGCGGCTCAAAGAGGGCAGGAGTCCCACACCAACAATCCTCACGTATCGGGCAATACATTCCATGATTGCGAGCACACCTGGCGGAGGCATACATCTAGGCGTTCGCTCTTCCAATGGCCTATCGCGCGCCCTAGAAAAATCCCTTCACATTAAATTGTACATTAAGGCTACCTATGTGTTGGCTTTTATGGGCACAGGCGCAATGTCCTCCTTCGTCCAACACACCTTGGTCAAAAAGCTTGGTTCGTTGGATTCTATAGAACCCTACTAACACAAGGTCCACTTTAATAATGCTGAAGTCGAAACTCTCATTGGTACTATCAACCTTCTGGTTAAAGTCCAGCGCAGTGATATGCCCATGCAGGCGTTCTTGCGGCAAGGCTCCAACCCTCATGGGTTTCACATTTCTTGAAGCCAACCAAGTCCTAGTCGATTCCGAATCTAGGACCTTGAATATGAAGGACGGCAATGTATAGGTCAAGTGTCTTTAAGTGCAGGCAAACTCCCCTGAGGCAATTGTACACCCCCCTGATGAGCATCTTTCGTCCTGTCAACCTGCCCAAACTTGGTTCGAGGCTTTGGTCGTCCAATGCTTCCCAATCTAGGGCCATCTACCTCTGTGCCCGGTCAAACGACGTTGTGTATGATTTCTTCACCCCTCGAGAGATCTCCCTTTATCCCGGGGAGTGCCAGACATTCCATACTAACGCGGCATAACATTTTCTGTGAGGAACATGGTGTTTGCTCTAGGGGAAATCAGACCTTGTGCATAGGTATGGTATTTAACTCTGGGGAGGG